AAATCTCCACATCTATCCGTAAGTGTTTCATTTTCCCAGTGCCCAGCCATTACCAAGTAACACCTGGACATCACTCAGGCGGCCAGGAGCCTGTTCCTGTCTGGCGTCGCACAATAGCCGGCCCGTGACTGGGCAGAGGCGGGCCAGTTGTGGTTGACGGGGGCAGCTGTGCTCAGTCACAGGCGACCCGTATATAACGGCCAGGAGTTCTGCCTTGAGCATCACCTCACCCACCAACCAGCCATGAAGAGCTTCCTCGTCATCGCTGCCGCTCTGGCCTGCGCCACAGCCAGGCCCCAGCGTCCTGGGGGACCGGGACCCATGGGGCCCGGTTCCGGGTCTGGAGAGTCTGGAGAGATGGGTCCAGGATCCATGGGCCCGGGAGGCATGGGACCTGGACCCATGGGCTCTGGAGGCATGGGACCTGGACCCATGGGCTCTGGAGGCATGGGACCTGGACCCATGGGCTCTGGAGGCATGGGACCTGGACCCATGGGCTCGGAAGGCATGGGACCTGAAATGGAGGAGCAGGGCCCTGCCGGACCCGGGCCAGAACAGTCCGGTCCTGGCGGTGACAATGCTTGGCCAGAGTCCTGGAATGAGGAGGACTGGCCCGAATCCTGGAATGAGGAGAACTGGCCCGAGTCTTGGGATCCGGAGAACTGGCCCGAGTCCTGGGATCCGGAGAACTGGCCCGAGTCCTGGGATCCGGAGAACTGGCCCGAGTCTTGGAATGAGGAGAACTGGCCCGAGTCCTGGAACGCGAAGAACGGGCAAGAGTCCTGGAATGGGGGAAACTGGCCGGAGTCCTGGAATCCGCAGAACTGGCCCGAGTCCTGGGATCCGCAGAACTGGCCCGAGTCCTGGAATCCGGAGAACTGGCCGGAGTCCTGGAACAATGGAGCCGAGATCGCTGCCGGCAAGTAGAATATCCTACAACCACAACTGCCGTGTGCCAAGGCTGAACGGCCATGGCGAGCCAGCGCATCCTGGACCGCCAGCCAACCAGGAGGGAAGTGCTCGTGGCTCTCTGCAGTATGTGCAGTGAAATGCACAAACAGCAGCATCGAGCCATCCAAGCTGAGAGACGAGCACCGTTCGTCCGGGTTGTCACTCTCCATTGTCCCGGATGTGTTCCAACCGCTGGCCCTTGAGTGAGGGTCCATTTGCACCTTCGTTCCAGTCCCCTTGCAACCGCTGGTCTTCGCTTAAGTCTCACACGCTCTTCGTCAATATACTGTTTCAACCGATTGCCGCACGTTTAGATTAAATACTGGTGTGAAATACAGAACGCGCATATCTCCGTGAGAATTCGAAAGGGGTGCAGCAAAACACAATAATTGATTGGGGGCTTTAATTTCACATTAGCAGTAGCAAGAACGCATCACCACGTGATCACGTCGCTGCTGACAGCCAACTTCGACTACACGTGAAAACGTCTCCATTTGTTCACACCAAAGAGAGTAAATACAAAAACAATAAGCAACGAAACATGCCACTGAAATGGATTGCGTCTGGTGATTGATCAAGGCAAACTGGACAGCGCAATTCAGCCAAGCGCTCTTAGATTTCTATGCAAAACCGGCATAAACGAGGTAGATCCGATTGCGTGTTGAGTCTCACTCAGGTCGTTACCGAGCGGAAGGTTTGGAGCCATCTGGTGCTATGAAGACGTGTGCAACGGTATACTTGAACTGCGCGGTTCAAGTCCTGAACATTTTTGAAGACTTCAAGCAAGAGTCTTTTGAATGGATGGGTTCTGGGACCAGAGCCCACGCCAAGTAGCGCTTGTTGCACGAGCCTTAACGTCCACCATCCGATCGCAACATTCCACGTCAGTGGTACAATTTGTGGCAACAGTTAACCACTCCGCAATGCCCGGCGTGGTCCACCCTGCCTCTGACGTCATCTAGCCTCTAGGAGCTGCTGCAATCGGTCGCACGGGTCCGACTCCGGGTCTGGGGAGTCTGTAGGTAAGGAACTTGACCCACGGACTCGGAGGAAATGGAACGTTGATCCACGGGTTCGGAGAGCACGGGACCCGGAGCCATAAGCTCGGGAGCCATGGGACTCGGACCCATGGGTCCGCGATAGAGGCGCAGTTTTCTTCAAAATATTAGTCCGCAACCCGGCCGTCCCACTCACATAGTGATCCAGTTCACAAAAGCCCGCTGGGCTACAACACTGACCGTCATTTACCTCCATGTACTAAGTCATTACAACATGCATGTAGTCATGTGTCGTTAATTTTAAACCTATACACTCGTGTATGCATTTAATGGCAACTCAGTGTCGCCCAATACACGGCATTGTTTGGCTAACACCAGTGATGCTGCTTAGAAAGCAGCGATCAAGGTACCCGGCCAGTGGACTTTGTAATGCACCAAAGTAGATACCACACATTGTGGCGGTAGATTTCAAGTACAAATATGAAGGAAGGGGATGGATTTTTTAATTTCTCTGTCGCCGAAATGAACCAAAGATTTCACCATTCCATCTCATCTCAATAGACCACAGGCCATGTCTTCTAAAATTGCAGGCATCAATTGATGACTATGCAGCAACACCGTAAAAATGGTGGACGCTTCACGTCAAGTCTCTTCATGCGTAAGCACAAACAACATTCGAGTGCGTCACAATCGTCACAAATTCATAATCCGCATTCAATAATCACAGGCAGTCTCTCACATAGCGCTCACACAACGCCTAAGTGGAAACGTACAACAATATCGCGTAAATACCACATGGTAGCTTTGAAATGATCCGCATGTCCCTGTTACCACTATGCATGTTCTCTACCATCTCAACCGTCGCGCGGTTTGCGTGATGCCGCGTGACAGCAAGGATAGCAATAATATGTCGTCTACGAATATGTGTCCCTTCAGTAATTATTGGCATTTAGCAATGCCACAAACACGCGAAACATTGTCACATCTTGCAGAAAAACTCCTGCGACAACAAACAACTTACTATAGATAGGACTTGTGTATACTTGTTAGCATACTTAGTATACTTGTATACTAGCATACTTGTTGTATACTTTTTTGTATACTTGTATAGAAGATAGGACTTTTGTATACTTGTTTTAAGTTTGGCAGCGCACTCTGGTTTTTAGATAAGTACAAAACCTAACAAACAGGAAAAATGCATTATTTTTATTGTTAAAATTTAAGTATTGCCTATGATCCAGCCAAAAGCCCAAGGGTTCTTGCGGATCACACATTCGCTGGTTGACAGGGTGAAACGCTGCCAACTTGTCCGCGTCCCTTGTCCAGATCGCATGTGACCCGCAATTGAGAGGCGGGACCCGCCGGAGCCAGGTGAGGACAATCCGGTCCTGAGCGAAACAACTGAGAGGCGGGACCAGGATCCAGGTCTAGACAGTCCGGTCCTGAGCGAAACAACGGAGAGGCAGGACCCGCCGGAGCCGGGCCATGACAGTTCGGTCCTGAGCGAAACAACGGAGAGGCAGGACCCGCCGGAGCCGAACTGGGACAGTCCGGTCCTGAGCGAAACAATGCTTGGCCAGAGTCCTGGAATGAGAGAACTGGTTCCAGTCCTCAGGCGAAAAAAAACTGGTCTGAGTTCTGGAACGCGGAGAACTGGCTCGTATGTTGGAACCCCGGGTCTGAGATTGCTGCCGGCAGTTAGAATATTCAAAACCACAACTGTCGTGCGCCAAGGCTGAATGGTCATGGCGAACCCAAGCATCCCAGACCGCTAGCCCACCAGGAAGAAGATGTTCGTAACTTTCTTCAGCATGACTCCGGCATAAGGTGTGGCCAACAGCTTCAATCTCGCGTTTGTGAGAGATGAATGGATATTGACGACCTAATTGGCGCTCAACATTATCGAAGGCGTCGCTGTTTCTATGGTCATAAGTCAATGGCGACTGCTCTGCTGACCAGGTACAGGAGAGGCGCCGTGCCCCAATGGAGCAGCGCACGGCCCCGGTCTTGTGACCGGAAGATCGTGGGTTCGAGGCCTGCGTCCGACCAAACTTTGTTGCACCGGAGCCATAATCAGCATGGGAGTTTGCGAAGCTAAGGATGATTCCATGATGGCTGATGGTCACCATGACAGCCGACTTCTCAGGGCGCTCCGGCATCAGAATGCAACTCTGCGGCCAGGGCCGTGGTAGCCGCGTACCCCGTGGAAAGTTCACGAGACTGAACGGGGCAGAATGACGTCATTTCCAACGTTGTTGGAAACAGACCATCATAAAACTGACGGGCCGATATGACAGGTAAGTGGCACTACAAGGCTGGTCACGGCTATGACCTAGGTACGATGACAGCCACTGGCAAGTGAGAGCCAGCTACTTGCTGACGTTGCACAAACCGCGCCGACCCGCAAATTAATTGGCTGCCAAATCGGATCAGAAATTCGAAATCATGCATACGTGTTTGGAGTGCTCCAATCATCCAGACAAGCCCACACCATGAAGTTTGGGTGACGTTAGGTGCAGTGCATGGTCCGTCAGCGTCTGAAGCTGCTATCATGCCAGCAAAGAGGAAATGGTGTAGACCGCAGCTACGGTTCAACAACCTAGCTGCTGCTGGTCGCGTGGTTTGGTCGCCTTTTTCAGTTTTTTTTTCAGCAATTAAGCCAGTGCATAAACGCCATAAACGCCTATACAACGAAATATCGACGAACAATCAGGTTTTCATCGAAATTTAAGCCTTTGCCAGTAAGCAGCTGATCAGAAGCAATGGAAACACACATTACCAGCACGACTTCACGGCATGCGAGAACATGCCGGTTGGCTGAGGTGGGCACGCTCCCTGGCGGCAGCTGGGTCTGCGCCGTGGCGGATTTCCGGTGAAGTATTGCCTCTTACACAGTCATTTCAAATCACGTCGCGTTTCTCTATACGTTGCATGTTCCACAACAGGCCATTTCAAACCACGTCGTGTCTCTCTGCATGTTGTGCCCTTCACAACAGGTCACGTCGCGTGTGCTGCCCACAGTCAGCTGGCGCAGAGCGCGGCGGTACATACCGATGCCCACGTACGGGCTGTACTGGACGTTGCGCCAGCCGCGCTTCTCGTAGTTGTGGAACACGCTGCGCTGTACCACCGACTTGTCCGAGCCGAGGAACGGCAGGCAGTACTTATTGATGACCGAGCTGCTGTGCAGGTTACCGCTGCGGACGGACGGCAGGTCAGCGGGGTCAACATCAGGCCGTTGCGGACAGGCGGCAGGTCAGCGGGGTCAACACCAGGCCGCTGCGGACAGGCGGCAGGTCAGCGGGGTCAACATCAGGCCGCTGCGGACGGACGGCGGGTCAGCGGGGTCGGAATCAGGCCGCTGCGGACGGGCGGCAGGTCAGAGGGGTCAACACCAGGTCGCTGCGGATGGACGGCAGGTCAGCAGGGTCGGACGGCAGGTCAGCGGGGTCAGCATCAGGCCGCTGCGGAGGACAGCGCGTCAGCGGGATCAACCCCAGGCCGTGTCACCAGTGCACCGCCGGATATCCAGACTTGCGCCGGCCAGCCGACACAGTGCTCTTGGACTCCGTGCACAGTGGCAGTAACCGGGTCCCGCTCTGTATTCCGGGCGCACGCATATTGTAAGGAGCAGCCTGATTTGCGGCACGGTTTGCATGTTCCCTGAATATTCACCTGGTTCATGAAAAAATGCAGAAATGCATGCATTGATCAGCCACCAAACGCAAAGCTAGAAGCGCATTTTATCGCCCAGAGGCCAACAGCCCTCACCAACGACTCTTTCCTCTACATCTGCTTGGCGGTGGCTGTATGTGTGCTGCATGCAAGGGATCATCGTCAGCGTTATTCGTACTTTCAACACGTCGACGGTCCGTCCTGGACGCAGTGATTCTCCATGGTCTGATCCCCAAGCACGGTCACATGTCAGCACGTGACATATCGAGCCTCGGGCCGCCACTCACTTCGGCCTGCCACTCACCAGCGCTGCGACCGGCACAGCTGGTGAGGCTGGAAGAGCAGCTCCCCGCCAGACAGCAGAGAAGCTGACAATCCTCAATGTCCTCACAACACAGCCGCCGGACGAGCCCGGCGCACGTGCCGTGCGTCACCCCAGCAGCACCACTCACCGGTTCGGCAGCTTGTAGTTGGACCTGGGCAGCCGTTTGCCGAACAGCCGGCGGCGCAGCGGGCCCAGCTCGTGCTGGTTGGCGAAGCCGTGGATGGCCGACTGGTAGGTGGCGTAGTGGATGCCCCGGTAGCCCTGGCACGCCCAGGAGACACGTCAGCACTGCCCTGCAGCCGCGGCGTCAGCGGGGTTGGGCCCGGCCCTCTGGCCCCACCATCACGGCCACACGCCTCTGCTGGCGAGCGAGGTCTGCCCTTGCACACGAAGCCGTCGATACTGAGACCCTCCCCACCTGGTGAGAGAGGAGCATACAGCCAGCTCACAGCACGTCTGACACCGACAAGCAGCCCGATACATGTAAGTGGTCTCTAGAAGATGACCATGTTGGAGCATGCGGCGCGTATAAACGCGTGGAAGAGCCAGCAGTCCGCCGCACGACTGTTCCTCCCAGGCGGCCATGCTTCCAAGGGCAGGCGGGACCGCCGTTGGCCCGCTCGTACCTTGGGGCCAGTCTTGACGTTGAAGTAGCTCTCGATGCCGTTCAGGTCGCCGTCAAACTTGTCGTGCACGAACACCACGCCCATGTCGGCTGGGATGGAGTCGAAGCCACACGCGCCCACCACGTACACGCCCGCCTTCTCTGCCGCCTCGTGGTAATTCAGCTGGGTGCCCTCCAGGAACTGACGGGCAGGGAGTGTTGGGATGTAGGGTGTTTGGCGCCAAAGAGCGGCCACGGCCGACGCACGCGTCAGCTGTGCGCTCTCCCCGTACCCGTCGTGTGTCGCGTGGGGTCCCCATTGTCTACGCTAGCCGGCCTCTTTTGAAAGTGCAGGTTACTGCTATGCGTGCTTTTAGTGGCGCGTGTGTCCTCTCCGACAGGAACGGCTTGCATTTCCTGCGATGTGAACATTCTGAGGCAAAAACTGAGGATGGCAACAACCAGTTACGCAGCCACAAGCCGCCTAAATTTCAGCTCAAAACTGTCCGGCTCCAGCAGCAGGCCCACGTGACATTTGCCGCCTCGACGCCTCTCTCTCTCTCTTATGATCCACAGAGTAGTCACAAAACAAATCATGTCCAATGGAGCAGCGTGAAAAATAGCTCAACAGATGAATCCCGTGTCGTCTAGCAGCATCAGGCGCATGGAGAAATGGCGTGCGTGCATTGCTCTTCGCATGCCGGTAAGTCTAGACAGGTGTGCGGCGACATCTGACAAATTGGCGACCCTACAGGGACCTAATCATAACATCGATTGTCAAGATGACGTGCCTGTTTACATGCGCAGGGTCGGGTTGGAACACTACTTGAAAACGTCCGAAGTCACGAAGACGCCTTCCAAATCGAGTCGCAAAAAGCATTACTCCATGCTTTATCATATACGTCTGCCAGTCAGGCTGATGGGCCATTAGAGTCGGTCGTCCTTGGCGAGTGAACGAAAGAACGTCGTTTGCCACTGGCCTACCCGCAGCCTCAGCGGTTCAACTCTAGTGCATTTCAGGCAACATATAAACATTCTGATCAATGCTAAGCCGATGCGTCGGTACCACAATTCTATAAGTTTGGCTCGCTCTGCTTGCACACTTCCTTAATCCTGACCGGCTGCAAAGCTCACTACATCTAATTAGAAACAGATGCCTGCGAATAAAACTCTTAAAGCGCCGTAGCAAACACATAACTGCTCTGGGCGGAGCGGTCCCCGGCGTCGCCCCAGGCTATCGACCCGCCCGATAGCTGAGCAGGGAGCAGTCGGCCAGGTGGACCGCCCAGCTACGGCGCTAATGGGCGGCAGCCGGCGGTAATGGCGCGGACGACAGCTGCGACGGCCGGCCGGCAGCCCTGGGGCGCCACCCGCCGCCGGCGGCCGCTCCGACCCCTCCGGCCGGCCGGCGCCACCCCGGCCGTCCCGGCGGCACCCGGCCAGCCGCCCTCACCTGGGGCTCGCCGCTGATGTCCACGTGACTGGCGCCGTTCGAGACGCACGCCTTGACCACCTGGTCGCCGAAGAAGCGGTACTGCAAGCAGGCCGGCCGCGCGTCAGTGCCGGTCTGCACCGGCCGCCTCCAGAATGCATCGCGGCTGTAGCCGGGGTCGCGCATACCACACACGATACGTACACAACGAATGGTGAAAGCCGCATGCGTGCCCGATACTGAACGTCTTTACCACATGAGGGTTATTGGTACTTTGAGCGAATTACAAAGATGTATGCTGGTTTCTAAGTGGAAACCAAGGTACGCCCAACGAATTTTGGCTTGTATACTGAAATGCACTGCCTGGAACGATCCAGTTATGCCAAACATGTAAGTGACAGTGATTACAGAATGGTCAAGAAAACGGATTAAAGAAATCTGTGCACACTTTCGACTCTCTTTCCTCCCCCGTCGCCCTCTCCCTCCTCCGCTCTCCCTCTCCCTCTTCCATCTCCCTCTCCCCCCTTCCCACCCTCTCCCTACTCCCCATCTCCCCTCTCCCTCGTACCTCTCCCTCCTCCTCTCCCTCTCCCTCTCCCTCTCCCTCTCCCTCATCGCCCCTCTCCCTCTCCCCTCTCCTCTCCCTCTCCCTCTCCCTCTCCCTCTCCCTCTCCCTCTACCCTCTCCCTCTCCCTCTCTCTATCTCTCTCCTCCTCTCTCTCTCTCTCGCTCTCCTCTCTCCTCTCTCTTCTCTTCCCCCTCTCTCTCTCTCTCTCTCTCTCTCTCTCTTCTCTCCTCTCTCTATCTCCCTCTCTCTCTCTCTCTATCTCTCTCTCTCTCTCTCTCTCTCTCTCTATCTCTCTCTCTCTCTCTTCTCTCTCTCTCTCTCTCTCCTCTCTCTTTCTCTCTTCTCTCTATCTATCTCGTCTCTGTCTCTGTCTCTCTCTCTCTCTCTCTCTCTCTCTCTCTCTCTCTCTCTCTCTCTCTCTCTCTCTCTCTCTCTCTCTCTCTCTCTCTCTCTCTCTCTACCCACCCACCCATTCAACTTCAGCTACGCCAAGCATAAACTCCACGCATAACAGTGCCGCTACCCTTGGCTCAGTCACCACCACTTCGCCATGGATCGAGGTGGACACAAGCGCTGTCCACAGCAGCGCTGGACACGAGCCCTGTCCCCAGCGCCCGGGTCGCCGCGCCGCCCCACCGGCCGTCGGCCCGTACCGGGCCGACGCAGTTGAGCACCACGCGAGCGCGGCGTGCCATTTGGTTCAGGCTCTCCTCGTCGCTGACGTCCGCCACGATCAGCTCCACGTGGTCCAGGTTTCTGCCTGCAGGGGAGGCAACAACGGCCCGGTTATTTAGCAACGCCTATTAACTGTTCACCGTGAGTTTATTGAGCAGAGAATCGATCCCGGACCTCCCGGCACATACGCTCACTGGGTCGCAGAACCCTGCCCATATCAGCAGCAAATACGAGCGAGTTTTGTGCCGCGTCAGCATGGAAGCCTAGCAGGCTCACAACATTAAATAAACATGTGTGATAATCAGACTGGCTTTCTGATGGGAAGCTAACTGACCTTGTTTTCATGGGGCAACAGGGAAAAGTATGAGTTCCCCTTGACACCTTTCACTGGATATCTCCATCTGGATATCTTCATCTCCACTAAATCACTCCAACTGGGATATGTTCTGGGACATATGGTTATTTGTCAGGCTCACCAGTCTCCTTGACTGCCTGCTGGCGGACCTTCTCGAGCTTGGCGCGGTTCCGGCCAGCGATGCCCCAGGAGAGGCCATCACCATCTGCCTCCACCTGAGCAATCTCCTCCACCACAAACTGGCCAGTAAAGCCAGTCGCTCCGAACACCACCAGGTCCACACGGTCGCCAGCCATGGTTGTGTTCCAGCAGTCCCTGTGGTGTACTGTGGAAAGGCTGGTGTCAGAGCAGGTGACAGCTGCAGCAGGGGTGCAGTTTGCTGCAGTTTCACAAGTCAACTTGTGGGATTTTGTCAAGGGCCTGCTCAACCTGAGGTAATACTAAAATAAGCTGCAGAGCTTCAGAAAATGAGTTGGGGAGGGGGGGGGGGGGGGCTGAGCAGTGAAAAATTATGTGATCTCTTCTCCACAAGTAGCCCACAACCTGGACTTCTTCCTGGATATGGCCAACTTCCAGCTCAAGGTCAAGGAGTGTCCAAACCTCTCCTCTCCCCAACAAAGCAACTAAATCAGAAACTACACTCCCCCAAAACCTGTTTTTTCACTGCCTCTGTTTGGCTAAATATCTCTACTTTTTATGCTTTGAGAGCACTGAACAAATCAGCCACTTTTTATCATATTGTGCAAATTTTCAGTGAACATGGGGCCTAACCCTGAGAGGAGGGATATATGTCAAGTTGGGGGGGGGGGGGAAGGGCACCCAACAGGAAAAACAGGTGTGTAACAGATAGGCAAACAACCCCATAAACTTGGCTATCTGTGCACTTGATACAGAAGTCAAGAACAATTAATAACCTGGCTGTGTGTGCAGGTTTTGCACTATTTAATCATGTTTTTTCGATACAGACATCAAGACCAATCAATAACTTACAGCTATCTGTCAGTCACTTGTCATAGCAGCAATAGTGCTTAACCTGCATTCTCAACAAGCATATAGAATAAACATATCACAGCATATTCATATAATATCCTGATTCATATTTAAACCAGGAGTGCAAGAGGATTCCCCAACCCTCACCTTACCCTCAGGGAGGGTAAGCTGATAAACCTTTTTTGGCTATTTTTGCCTAGTTTCCAGTTTCCAGACCATTACACAGACATTACACTTCAGAATGTTGTGGCACAGCCTCTCATTCTGTGCCAAGTTCTGGTGACCCTGCTTGCAATTAAGTTTATAATTATTGGAAGCATAGGACAGATTGAGATGGACAAAAGGAAACTAAAGAAACAAAATATACAGAAATAATGCCTTAATGGCTAATGCTAAATGTCAATGTAATAAGCAATTCCAATAATAAATAATATGGGCCCTGTTTGTAAAAAACAAGCATTTAAGTTATATCTCCAAACAACACATTCACAAAATATTAATGGTAACATGGTCTCAATGGAAACAGACACCTAAACATGCAGTTAATCATTGGCACCCAAAGAAGCAGCTAGTAGACACCAATAACAACTATCACTCCCCCTACAGCAATGTCAATAAGGAACATAAATGACTTCTCTATGGTTGGGAGCAGGAGAATGGAGATATGAGGCACAGTCCATGTAAAAGTGGCATCCAGCCATTGTTAGATCACTGCGTTATAATGTAATTGGGGGGACAGCAGGCCCCAACTTGTGTAAAATTCACATTTAAATGTACTTAGCATTACATTAATAATTATTACGGATGCGTACAACAATCTGACAGAAATTGCTGCTTCCCCGCCCACTTTAATCAATCTTCGTTTTCACGCTGAGGATGTGACGAAACTCTGACACGATCGGCGACAACTTCACCTTGCTAACGACCACGTCCTCACAACCATGAGCCAAGCGGGTAAAGGCCTGACGCAGCACCACGGACCTGAGAGATAAGCGTCGGACTTCGACCCCAGAGCAGCGCGCCTCTCCACTGAGCTCCCCTGGGCGATCCAACCTGCAACGCTGTGGGCGCCTTTGGCTGGCTGTATTTCTCGCGCGTGTATACAGCCCCTAGCGAAGCACTGTTCATTCTTGATTCGTCCTTGGGATCGCCAGTTGCTGATTGGTCACTCAGGGCGCTCCCAAGTCACAGGAGCTATTGTGTATTGTATGTAATTGAAATAAAGCTAAATATTGAGGTAAGAATGCTTTTGGAATTTTTCTTGTACTTTATAAATGCTAAAATTTCTGACATAATGCCATTGATGGAGATACTGGTTGTTTAAATCTGCCTAGCACATCCTTAACTTTTAATACAAATTTAGCGCAAATAAGACAAGCAGTCACAGGTCGCTATTATGCTCTTGGCAGGCGGGAAAAATCCGGCGATGGATGGAACATGGGTTGGGGGCCGACTCTTGGGACCTGCTGGAAATTCTGGATTTCTATAGCGCATCGCGGGTAACATAGGCTGTACAATCGTGTGACTGGTCCATTCACTGGGTTTGGTATAGCCCTGTCAATAAAGTCCCTGCGGCTGGCGGGAAGCGTCACACCAGTGAAGCGTGAGTTTTCTGTTCACGTTCTGGTGTACCTGAAATGGATTTAAGCTACCCTGGAAATGAAATTTTTCAACTGTAATCCATTTAAAGCCATGTTGAGCCAAGGGTTCTTGAGAAGCTAGAATTGTTGTGTTTGGGTGATAAATTTTGTGAATCATTTGGTAAAGTCATGCATATGGTGGGATGTTACAGGATAAAGATAAAGTACCTGGCTAATGAAAATGGTTTGGAATGTGGGGAGCTGGCTATTTTCACCCAGTTTCTTTTTGTGTGACTTGAACATTTTTTCATCATGGTTTGACCAGACTCAAAGGCTGAAAATACTACAGACGATAAGATTTACTCAAAGCAAAGTCATCTTTGTCACTTATTTGTTGTCCTAATGCAGACCATATGTGCCATTTTATGATAAGTAAGAAGTAAGGCTACATTATCAGTTTGAGTATTGCATGGCCCTAATTAATTTGCACAAAGAACAACCTAATCATCACCCCCATAGTGCTTACTTGTGCCCAGATTTGGGCCTATTCTTGTTACTTGGACACTTTTATATTTTGGATTGTTTTTCACCTAAAATATACTGACACACAGGAGTGAGACCTTGAGGGCTTACTGCTTACAGAGTTTACTTAACTGGAATACTGCCAACATACTGTGGCATGGTATGCTTCTGTTGGGTGTTAAGCACAGGTCAGCATTTATTATATAATGGGTGTATTCCAGGAGTCCTATGGTATCAGTTTTATTGTCAATGGTAGGCCTTGCTGAGGAAACATTACAGCTTGGCTTTGTAATTCTCATGCAGCCATTCCATGTGCCTTCCTTCATGAGATGCACACACAGACCCAGACCTGGGGCACTGTTCCTTGTAAGTTTAGAATTGACCTTTGCACTATTGTCGAATCTACCCTCAAACTTGACTGTGCTCTCAATGTTGAGCACTTCTGTACCTGGGTTTGTTGAAACCTTGTTCTTGATTCCAGCATTTCCCATGTATCTGGGGACTAAGTAGGTCCAACCAGGCTTAGTATGTCCATTAACCTAGCCCCTTGCATGACACTACCCTGTCTTCAGACACACTCCTACATGAGCCCTTGTACCTCTCTTGCCATGTGTTGGCCTTTATACCTTTAGAGTGAGGTATGCACCTCTGCTGAAGCCTTGAGTGTCATTCTGCCTACATTTATGGATACCCTCTGCCTGAATCCTGATGCATCTGCAGATTGAGATTGAATTTTTCTGGGGATTGAGTTCCCCGCAGTGGGGCTCAGGACTCTTGTCTGCCCGTAGACTTCGCACACCCCTCTGTTTTGACTAGGAAAACTGCTGTACTTGCATTTAGGGATGATCCTTTACCTATAGTTAGAAGTGTCTCTCCTGGGCTTTGGGAGCACCTTTAGCTCTGCTTCAGAGTTCCCTCCACTAATAGTCTTGGGAATGCTCTTGTCCTTTGCCTTGGGGCACCCCTCTTCCAGAGCATTAGCCACTAAGCTGCTCCTCTACCACAGCTCCATTCTCCTTAGGGTCTGATGCGCCCCTCTGCCAGCACTTGGAACACTGCTGTGTAAGCTTGGGCCACAGCTTTGTTTGGGATTGGGAGATGCTGCTCTGTGTGGGCTTGGTACATCCCAAAGCTGGACCCCATCTTCGTTAAGGGCGTTCCTATGGCTGGGTTAAGCATGGCCTGTTCACTTTGGCTTGGGGATGTCTGTCTAACTTGGGCCTTAATAATGCAGCACTTCCCTCTTCCCCATCTCCCATTCTGCAATTGTGGCAACAGGAATGTCTCAATCAGACAGATGGAGCCCCTGATCTATATGTGATGAGGCAGGCATCATAGGCCCAGGCTGTTCTTCCCTTGTGTGCACCACCAGTCTCACTGACTGCTGTGTGGCTGTTGTGTGCCTGCAGTGCGCGTGTGGGTGGCAGTGGCAGCAACGCTGATCTCTGAGCCCGACGATGGACGAGCTGGACCAGCTGCTGATCCGGCCCCTGGGCGCCGGCCAGGAGGTGGGCCGCTCCTGCATCATGCTCGAGTTCAAGGGCAAGAAGATCATGCTCGACTGTGGCATCCACCCGGGCCTCTCTGGCATGGACGCGCTGCCCTTTGTTGACATGATCAACGCCGAGGAGGTGGACCTGCTGCTGGTGAGTCACTTTCACTTGGACCACTGCGGCTCGCTGCCCTGGTTCCTGCAGAAAACCACGTTCAAGGGCCGCTGCTTCATGACGCACGCCACTAAGGCCATCTACCGCTGGCTGCTTGCCGACTACATCAAGGTGTCCAACATCGCCACCGAGCAGATGCTGTACACGGAGGCCGACCTGGAGGCCACCATGGACAAGATCGAGACCATCAACTTCCACGAGGAGAAGGACGTGCGTGGCGTCAAGTTCTGGGCGTACCACGCCGGCCACGTGCTCGGCGCCGCCATGTTCATGATCGAGATCGCCGGCGTCAAGATCCTGTACACGGGCGACTTCTCGCGCCAGGAGGACCGCCACCTGATGGTGGCCGAGATGCCGACCATCCAGCCGGACGTGCTCATCATCGAGTCGACGTACGGCACGCACATCCACGAGAAGCGCGAGGACCGCGAGAGTCGGTTCACGGGCGTGGTCCACGACATCGTGCAGCGCGGCGGCCGCTGCCTGATCCCGGTGTTCGCGCTCGGCCGCGCGCAGGAGCTGCAGCTGATCCTGGACGAGTACTGGGCGCAGCACCCGGAACTGCACGACGTGCCCATCTACTACGCCTCGTCGCTCGCCAAGAAGTGCATGGCCGTGTACCAGACGTACGTGAACGCCATGAACGAGCGCATCCGCCGTCAGATCGCCGTCAACAACCCGTTCGTGTTCAAGCACATCCAGAACCTGAAGGGCATCGACCACTTCGACGACGTCGGGCCGTGCGTCATCATGGCCTCGCCGGGCATGATGCAGAGTGGCCTGTCGCGCGAGCTCTTCGAGTCGTGGTGCACCGACCCCAAGAACGGCGTCATCATCGCCGGCTACTGCGTCGAGGGCACGCTGGCCAAGCACCTTCTCTCGGAGCCGGACGAGGTGAACACCATGTCCGGCCAGAAGCTACCGCTCAAGATGTCCGTCGACTATATCTCGTTCTCGGCGCACACCGACTACGCGCAGACGTCCGACTTCATCCAGCAGCTGCGCCCGCCGCACATCGTGCTGGTGCACGGCGAGCAGAACGTGATGTCGCGCCTGAAAGAGGCGCTGCTGCGCGAGTACGCCGCCGACCCGCAGCGCGGCGCCGTCCAGATCCACAACCCGCGCAACACTGTGGCCGTGACGCTGCACTTCCGCGGCGAGAAGATGGCCAAGGTGATGGGCACGCTGGCCATGGAGCCGCCCACCGACGGCCGCCACCTCGCCGGCGTGCTGGTCAAGCGCAACTTCAGCTACCACCTGCTCTCGCCCGACGAGCTCGGCAAGTACACGGACATGACGCAGAGCCAGGTGTCGCAGCGGCTGAGCGTGCACTTCTCCGGCTCGCCGCAGCTGCTGCAGTACGTGCTGTCCAACATCGCGGCCGACTTCGAGCCGGCCAAGGGCCGCCACCAGTGGCGCCTGTTCAAGGCCGTCACCGTCACGCTGGACGGCCAGACGGCCGTGCTCGAGTGGGTGGCCAGTCCGGGCGCCGACATGCTGGCCGACGCCGTGCTGGCGGCCGTGCTGAAGGCCGAGACGACGCGCGTCGACGCGCCCACGCGGCCGCTCAAGTTCGACCGCATGCACTACAAGGAGTGTCTGATCGAGACGCTGCAGGAGATGTTCGGCGACGAGTCGGTGCCCAAGTTCTTCAAGGGCGACAAGTTCTACGTAACGTGTGGCGGGCGGCGCGCGGATATCGACCTGGCCGACATGACGGTCACGTGCGAGGACGACGAGATCTTCCGCAACACGGTGCACACGGCCGTCACCAAGCTGTACCAGTCGCTGGCGCCCGCCCGGCTCAACTGACCGGCGCCCACCTCGGCCCGACATGGGCCGTGGGCGAGGGCTCTCATCGTCATACGCTGTGTTCGCCATTGTGAAGTCGTTAAACGTGCTATTATTTGTAATAAAGACCTGGCAACGAACTGTTGGCCCGGATATCTCTGATTTTTGGATATCCCGGATATCTCTGAGGCTCAAATTTCGGCGCTCCAGCGGAAATGTCTCCTGGTCGGTGGCGGTTGACATCGGGCGAGAACAGGGAATGGAGTCAATCATAAGGGAAGTGTTGGTAGAAAGACAAATGGAGTTACATTTAGCGTGCAAATGGTTGTTGTGTTAGCAAGCGATCGCGCATATCTTCCTGAACGCTTCATCCTTCTGTATAAGCATGCACATTATGAAATGCATGGGCACGGTTTGTTGATTACGCTCCCAACGAATACAAGGAAGTGTTGGCAGAAAGACGAGTGAAGTTACATTTAGCGTGCAAATGGTTGTTGTGTTAGCAAGCGATCGCGCAAATCTTGCTGAACGCTTCATCCTTCTGTATAAGCATGCACATTATGAAATGCATGGGCACGGTTTGTTGATTACGCTCCCAACGAGTGCAAGGAGGCCCAGTCTCCAAAAAAGCCCGAGGTCTATTCTGAAACTCGATAAAAATGTGTTGCTTACTTTCCCACGTAGTCTGCGGTCGTGTAGTGGCTTTCAGTTTCCTGCAGTAACTCGTGCTCTTGTGAGTCTTGTGCGCGGAGACATGCTGCACGCTCATTGTCCCTGATCACCTCCCCTGGTTGGATGGACCGCCACCCCTGGACGAGAAACGGCATGTGTATTGCAGTTGGAAGACGCTGGTGTATGCCGAGATGCCGGCAGCCGGTGGTGGGCCGGCGTCGGCCGGGCTGGAGTGATGGGTCGGTTTGGCAAGACCGGGAGATTCGACCGATACCAGCGCCAGCACCAGTCCAAGCATGGCTACGTTATGCTCACGCCAATGCGCCTATCATCTGGTGTTGGTGTGGTGTAAGGGTTGGGTACGAAGACCATGATGGATATATTCTACGTTCTATCACCAACGGAGCCAAAACCCTATGCATATAAAATAAACCTTTAGTTTTTACCTTTTGCGATAGGTGGCAGTGCCTGTACGTTTTTGCTGACTCCAGTCCGTGTAATTTTTATTTACATGCATGGTCAATTCCTCAAGTGGATCCATACTACCATGATATCGTCCTTCTATCAATGTGTTAAACTTATTGTCGTCGATGAGTACATGCCTTGAAATAGTTATCTTGGGATTATTTGGATTTTGAATAAATTAGAGATGTTGGCTGCTGCCCTAGGTAACCGGGCAAAACTTCGTATGGCATTTATCAGCGGGGCGTTGGCAAGGTAAAGACCACTGGGGCTCTTCCCCCCCCCCCTCCCAGAGCCAAAAAGTTTGCACTACATGATGGGCGGATTCGCCGAAATTTGGTTCATATTCGCATATTTCGGAAAAGTTTGATATCTTCCCTTCCTCTGAAAAAATTTTGCTCACGTGCATGTTTTCTTCGTATTCCGTACAAAAAACTTCGCATGCAGACATTCATGTCGTAGTTGTGTGCACAACGCCTCGTAAACACATGACCCTACTGCAAATCCTTGGATGCAAATGTATATGCATGAATGCTCGTTTTCCGTAGAACTTTGCAGGCTCAGTTATTTGTATCGCATTTCGTAACGAACTCATTCCTTCGAATTAATTTTCCGTATCATGATTTTTCATACAAACATTCATTCACATCGCGTTCTTTTATGCGCGCGATTTTTCGTAGCACACTTATACGTGCATGCGATTCCGGGCTGCGTTTCTTCACATGGCACATCTCCGCACAGGTAGTTCTTTGCACTACATTTTTTTGCGCAAGCATTCGTTCGCATGGTTTATCTGATGGCAAATCATAAACGTTAGCGTCTCTTTATCCGCATGGCTGCTCCGTCGTTCCCTCCTGTCTTCTCCTTCCTCTTTTTCCCCACAATCTATCGTTCTTAGCAGGATCCTTGCATCACTCCATCGTGTATCTCACGGTTCTCTGTCTCCATACATGACTATGAATGGGGTGAAGGGCTGACTATCTGCTGGTGGCCCTTATCCCTTCATCTAGCCCAGCTGTCAGTCTTCCATACCCGGGCCAATGAGATGCCCGCGTTGGAGTTCGCTTCACAGAAACGGCGCCCTCTGCAGTCGACACGGCTGTTCGCCACCAAGACAACCTAGGCCATCTGTGCCTCGTATGGAGGAACATTCCCTTATCCTAGGAGACAGTCCTACACAGGACTCCGTCGATTATGCCTTGTTTAAAGGGAATGTTCCATATTGGGAGATATTGAAGCAAGAATTGGATATGATGAAGTAAGATCGGATATGATGAAGTGAGAACAAAATATACCTATTTAATAAATACGATCCTCATTGCGTCATTCTTTGATTGTGTTATGGAACGTTTGAGCGTCAGCACTCAATTGTAGCTCTTCAATCTCCTGAGAGGTGGCCCGCAGTGGTGCTGGATGTGTGGTGAACCAAATATCGTTCGGTGCTCGTCTTGTGGCCCCTTTCGTGGTGGTCTTGCATATTTATCCGTGAGTTTCAGGCGCTTGAGTATTTACACATTCACTGTTGTAGCGCTATTTGAAGTAATTCGATTACATGTCTTACTCCCGCATGAACAAGAAAGAATGCATAAAATATTGTATTATGAAGCACAAAACGTAATTCGTATCAGAATTTTGCATAGGTTGCACAACATTGGTTGAGAGCTGATTGGTGGCCGTTATATGTGGAAATTATGCTCACGTGCACGTTTTGAATCCAATATCTGTTGCACAGTTTCCACAGATATCTATACAAATGCGAAGCAGTGAAGATGGCACATTTGTGTCAGCTTGAAATGTTGAGTGCCCAGTTAGACACACATGGCGCGGTGTTGATTTTTCGCACATTATTCATTGCCACCTGCTGATCTTCCATTTTAAAACAACTAGGGCCAATCGTCGATTTAAACCAATGTCATCAATGTATACGTGCTTTTATAAATTAGTAGCTAGTAGTTGTTCCTCACCATATGATGGTGAGAGTTGCGCACGAACGACGAAGCTTTGCTCGTGCATGCGTACCTCCAAATACGATGAATTATGTGCACAAAAACGCTGCACGACTCATAAAGCATACAAAGGGATCAGATGCAACCCAGAAGGAACCCAAGTCCTCCCAAAGCATGCTTCTTATCGGTCGGTCGGTCGGTAATCGCGCGTGGTTCTCAAACTGACTAAAAGGCGCGCGTGTCGTGCTACGCAACATACCCGTGTTTCCGTCCATGCCAGAATTGCATCTGATTTGTGCACTAACTTGCTCACTATCTGAGTTAGGCTCGATCAAATCACTCCCAAATCCCCGAATCCCTCTTTGCGAGGAATTGCAAATAAAAAACTCGAACGAATCGAAGAGAATGCCGAAGGAAAATGTGCGATATAGATTGATCACATACGAAGAAATGCAACACCAAGAAATGTGCATAGCAAGAGCTGCAATAAAAAACTGGAATGCGAAACAATACGACACGATTGATTGCGTATACGTCATGTGCAATATTGGACACACTTGGCTTTTCGGATATAAAGTTTTGTGCGGCAAATGCATGTTCAGATGAAGTTGGCAACGAATATTTGCGTTTACGAAGATCTCCATGCATGATTTTATGCAAGCGAAGAAATATTTCACTAGGATATGTGATACAAAATTTCGCCAACGAAGAAACGGGATCCGAGATTCTGTTCTGTTACGGCCCAGTAGTCACGCACGTAAGTGGGTAGTTCGCTAGACTAGGTTCGTATATGTAGGCAGTGTTGAGGCCCGATAGCGGGCACAGCTAACCCGTCCAGTCATCAGGTCATCATCAATCAAACGTTGTACCTCCCACCACAGTTGGAACTAATTGCACGTATTCCCGGTAGAGAGGAGCCACGAACTGGCGGGGCCCTCCCTTAGGCTGAAACGCTGGGTAGCCTAACATTCCCGCAAATCGTTTGGTAGGGTTTTCACGGTGTTTGTACGCATTGGCGGTCACCGTTCCACAGTAATGCATGTGATTCCGATCATTTGCAGTGGCCGAGTCAGTGCTCACGAGCAACCTGGTGAGCTGAACGAGGCCCCGGGCCCAGTGCCACTCGATCGAATAATTTTATGACCCTCAACGCCCCGTCTAAAAAACGGGGAGAGGTGCTTTGCCCATTTCGGCTCATTGATGCGATGCACACAGAGATAGGCAACGACGGCCATCTCCCAGCAGCAAAATCTGTTTTCGAATCTGACGAGTTAAAAAGCGGCCGCAGCGAAGCCTTCAGCATTAGGTCTAATTAGAAATATGCTCCTCGACGCATACACCCGAGTCAGCCCGCAACATCGGCTGGGGCCTTGTTATTCACCACAGCCCAAACATTTTGAGAGATGGGATTTGCCTGCCTAGATCGGTGTAGCATATGCAGGCGACACATGATTCTCATCAGGTAGAGCATTCCATTTCGGTAAGTCAGTGCCAGCGGTGGCGTCTCCGGGGGATGAGGGAGCATTGTTACATGGCTGCAGAAACTATAATCGAATGGCAAGGCCGCGAATGGATTCCGTAAATATCTTACACCGAAGGTGGTTACCACTCCTTCATGAGATTACTTAAATTTCACGGGAAAGTACTAGAAAACCACCAGAGGGCGATGCAGCCCTAGACCGAAATGTTGACGGGTCCAAAACGGTCAGGTGCCAACGACGTGTTCCTCAAGGCTACATAAAAGGGCAAAAGCAGACCAACATGGCTTTAGGGATCATTGGTCTGTTGTTTAGGGATTAGGGAATTTCAAAATTCCTGAAGCACTTCTGGGCCTCCTGAAGTCCAAAGAGTTTTGGGTCCCTTGCCTCGAGATAATTTAACAGCCTTTGTCGTTCAGGGGGTCTGCAGACGATCACGAAGAACAGTCAACAATCTTTCATAACTATTAAGAAGCCCCACATCCATCAAGGTGGAACACGAATATTAAAAAAGGGCCTCTACACGCTTAAGTGCTGGGGATAAGCAACGACCCACAAAACAGCCAAGGTTCCGAAACGATC